CAATAACAAGCGTGCAAATGTGGAAGAGTTTTCTCTGGATTCACAGGCTGCAACACAACATTTGCACAAACACACACAGACTTGCGTCTAGTTGCACAGATAAACTGATTTATGTAGTCCAATGTAACCCATCACATGATAAGTGAGAACGGGACTGGCTGCAGGGACTGCTTCCAGTAAGCAGCGGTTATCTCAGTGACGATCACATGATGACAGGTTCTGCTGCTGCACTCAAAGAGTAGAAGATCAATCTGGTCTCTAAAAAGTGGGACTGCAAAAATGAACAAAGAAATGCATCTTTACAATACATTTTCTTATTTTAACAGTCCAAAATTAAATATATACAGGAGAGCTTCTTTGAAACAAGCAAATAAATCTGTCGGACAAATCAAATTCCAGCCATTTTCGCAACACAGTGACCATTCAGCATGTGTGATGAACCAGAAATTAAACAGTGCTTGTCATTGGAGTGGATACAGGCACTGAGAGGCTTCAGAGCGGCGCCTAAGTGTCCACTAACAGCGGTCTAACAGAGGAAGTGGACTTGTGGAGTGATCTTATCTGATGTGAAGATCAACCCAGAGAGGGACATGCAACATAATGAGAGAGCTGTCAGGCTGATCCTTTCTGATGTTTCGCCAATCCGATCATAGGGTGGGTGGGGGCTATGGGGATCTTCCATTTAAAGTGATGTTTAAAACTCAGTTAATGGGGCTCATTTTTATATTGCTTCAGTTTATAATCGTAGCGGATCGAAAAGTTCAGATTAATTTTTCAATACATGATGCGCTTCCACAAACAACAACCAACATAATTATTACATTCAAATGAAGTACATTATTCAAGTTTACATGAACTTTGGATAATAACACGGGAGAAATTAGCGGAAGCGCTCTCTTTTCCTCTCTCCCTCTTCTGACAGCCCGTCAGTATCTCATGCAGCTCGCTAATCCAGAAATGAGTGACCCGACAGTGAAGAATAAACAGAACGTCACAGCGGGCGGGGCTGCAAGATTTCTGCTTCACACACGTTGCATACCGCTATTTTATTGTCTTTTTCAGACACCTTAAAATACTGCCAGACTGGTGAAGCCATTTTGGCGAGCTTGTTTTGCAGAGAAAAGTGTCATGTATTTTACGTCATGTGATCGGCTCTCCTGATCGGCCTTTATAGAGAGCACCGATCGATCGGCCGAGAGTGAATATCGGCCGATAACAATCAGCGGCCGATCGATCGGAGCATCCCTATTAATGATATCTAGACGTACACATTTTGCGCTGTCCGGAGCTGACGAGTCCATCTCAGGACACCTGCACTCTCAGTACAGCGCCACTTTCCGAACAGGAAATGCACGCAAATACAATCTTTTATATTATTAAGGTACAGCTCCACTTTCCGAACCATTAATGAATGCTTGTGTACACAAAACGGCAGACAAAACCGTTTTAAATGTGTGTTTCCTGTATGGCGAATACAGCTGCTTTATTTATGTCTGTATGAAGTTGTTGTGAGTGTGGACGGAGCAGCTACAGGTTAGCTTAGCCTGATCGATCACTGGCCTGTACTACGAAGCCAGTTCAACAGACCCTGGATATCTCTGAGTTATCTGAACTAACCCTAACAAACGAGATCTCGCTAAGCGGTCCTACAACGCTGGTTATCAACTCAGTAAATCAACCCAGGGTTTCTCTGTCCGGCTGAGAGTGCGTTCACATGAAAGGGGCGGGGTTAGCAACATTTGACCAATCACAAACATGGACAAGCGTACTGACAGCGCAGCGTCATACTTCCTGAATGAAAATTAAACTATAATATTAGACAAATATGAAGAAGTTAAACTTTAAACATCCATGACTTAAACACTTTATCCAGGATAGAAGCCACATAGCTGCACCTGCAAGGTGAATACAGCTGGTAAAAAAATACCGAGTGTTTGAATTTGTACATGAACAGGTTTATGATATCACTGGCACCCCGTCTAAGACACGAGTGGATCTGACTTTAATTACATTTGACTCAAGTGTTTCGTCAACTTAATGTGTTGTTTAAAATAACACTTCTGCATACAGTATGTGACAATGTACGTGTTGCACGGCCAGATACGGCTCAAGAAGCTGACTCAGATGAATGAGGCGAGTAAACACAGCTGACAGCCGCGGTGAAACTCGAGCGATTATTTGCATCGCGTCCGGTGTGAACGCACCATTATTACGTGTTATATAATTACAAAATAAAATCGCCACTCTCAGTACAACGCCACTTTCCGAACAGGAAATGCACACAAATACAATCTTTTATATTATTATTATTATTATTATTATTAATAATATATATATATATATATATATATATATATAAATAAAGACATCTTGTATTTTAGTTACACCCACTATTGATTAATTTGGTCAACATTGGACCTTGACACCGTACTGTAGCTATAGTGAAATAATATAATAGAAAACATTAAGCCTCTTTGATTTAATAATCGGAGCTGAAACCTCTCTGCCATCTCATATAACACACACTTCCTTATTTATCTTTGAATAGTAATAACATAAAAATAAAGACGACTATACTACAGTCCTTCGGTCCTGAGATTTGCGCCTGCAGTCAGGCTCCATGGACCTGTCAGCTCCGGACAGCACAAAATGCGTATATGAAGCGCTACGTCATGAACGCAATAAATCATACCCTCGAGGGGGCTTCGAGGGCATCTGATTGGCTATAGATAGAAAAAATTACAAGTACGAGGTTTTAAACAGAAAACCAATGTGTGTGGATCAAAAATACATATGTAAAACTTTTTTCTGTATTTGGATTTTATTTACATGTATATGAAATGGAACACTTGTGTGTGCATTGAAAAACACAAGTGTGGATCCTGAAATACAAGTGTGAATCCTTTTGCGCATCATTCACAAGTGTGAATCCTTCTGTGTGCGTGTGTGTATTATGAGACTGTTCTGAGCCCATAACATTTGGCACATGATTTGTATACTACATGTTTTATGAGGTAGCTGTTTTGCACTACATTGCAAAATCTACTGTACACTATTTTCAAATAAAATATTTGTCCTCTTCCAACAAATCGATATGGGTAACCACTCCACAAAACATCTTTACAACTATTAGGAGACGAGTTATATAGTTACTGTAATACAGCATTACATTGCACCCTAGACGGTTGTTTCTACCTTCCAGGCAGTCGGCGGTCAGTGTGCATTTCCGGGCAACATGAGAATCAGCTTTGAAATATGAAACTTGCTTGAAACATGCATCCATCATAATGAACGTCATATCTGCTTTTGTTTTTTTGTTGAAATATGTGATGGCTGTGGGTAATGCAGTGCAGACTTTCAGCCGCTGATTACGTTGACTCAGTTCACTGCGATGGGCTGCCTGACAATCTGGTTTTACTTCTGTACTGAAAAGCTAAAACATGCCTAATCATGTACTGTATATGTGATTTGTATTAAAAAAAACATGTTTTTTGGTCTTCAGTGTTAGGTATTCAACATAATTGCTATATACAATAATCCTGATTAAAAAGGTCAAATAAGGATATCATGTAAATAATACACACATGATAATATCGTGTTAGTAAATGATAGGGCTTGTAGATTTGTCTGCCTACCTTTGTACTTAACATTGTTCTTTTTTTAAGGTTAAAGTTACAGACTCTTTCTCCCAACACTTATATTTTGATTGGAATTTATTTGACAAAGAAATGTTCTATAGATATTGCGATGATATTGTTATTGTGCCTTATTTTGGTGGTGATCTGATACCGTTACAGCCCTACTTTGAAAAACCTGGGTTATCAACCAACAGCTGAGAAAACTCAACCTTTGCACTGAGGGCGTTGTGTTTCACGAGACACATGATAACTGAAAATGTATGGAAAACTGAGAAACGTTAGACGAGAGTCTCTTGCGTTTCTGCGATGAAGTTTTGAGTATTAGCATTCTGCTTTGCATCGGTTGTTTATACATGAGTGAAATGTAACCTAGTTGGTGCCAGGAAGAATGATTAACATGAGGGTGTCTATTTTGAGCCTGTCAACCTAAACACACACGCACATAAACTGTACTAAGGAAGCAGTTTTAAATGCAGGCTCTGATTGGGAAATGAACGTCTCTGCATGGCAGCGATGAACATTACTGTCTGCAGACCTCATGCAGAAAGCAGCTCCAAAATGTGACAAATCCATCTTCCGCCAGTTTCCCCCTTCACTTCAACACACCCAGAGCCAGAGCCAGAGCAACCCCTCCCACCACCACCACCACCACCACCCTCCCTACCCCTCCCCTGGGCCCCCTTCAGCCGGCTGCATGTCTCTGGAGGTCGTCTCTGACGTCAGCAGCTCGACTGGGCAGAGTGCCAGCCCTGTGGGCCCTTGATGGATGCGGTTGGTCTGAGAAACAGTCCGCTGTGTGTGGAGTGCACGGAATAGACTCAACTCGGCCCGCTCAAACACATCTAATGACCCGTAAACACCGACAGGCCCGTTCCCGCTCCCTTTCTTCTGTCTATCACACACACTGACAATTAGAGGAGACACATGTGAAGATGAGTGACTTGTACAGCAAATGGCCGGGATATTAAATGGAAGGCTGGTTATTCCTGGGAGAAAATATTCCTATTTTTCTTTGCGCAATAAAAGCAAACGACTGACATGGCTGCATTTGTGGTTGACTAGTCTGGAATTTATATGGGATTATTTGCCCAAATGTAACCAAAACAAAACATCACAGAAATTACAATCATGGGTCCATATCCTGGAATCCGCTGATCCAATTATTATGTCACAGTGATCCATGGAGCTGCAGCATGTGTGTGTGTGTTTCCTTGTTTGTCCCTGCATATGTGTGTGTGTGTGTGTGTGTGTGTGTGTGTGTGTGTGTGTGTGTGTGTGTGTGTGTGTGTGTGTGTGTGTGTGTGTGTGTGTGTGTGTGTGTGTGTGTGTGTGTGTGTGTGTGTGTGTGTGGAAGTGGGTTACCTGCAGGCCTGCTGCTGGTCTTCCTCTTCAGCCATCTGTCCAACGTCTCTGCGCTCACACTCTCCAACACAAAGTCGTCCAGCATCTGCGGGTGCAGCGAGAGGTAGGCCTTCACTTTCTCATCGGTCAAGCCTGAAGAGGAAATAAGTAAATTGTATTTTAGCTCACGCACTGCAGCTTTATTTATAACAATATGTCCAAATTAAAAATAATTCTGGGAGATGTTGCAGAAAATGTTGGAAATTCTGGAGAAGTCTGAAGGAGAGAAGGCTAATGTATAAGAGGATGGAAACAAAACAACGTCATATGACACGCTGCCAAAGGCCCACAGTGTTCCAGACAGTCACCCAAACAAATGTACAGGCCAGAAACAGCCGAAGGTCATCTCTTGCTCTGACTGCGAGGTGAGAGCGGCAGCAGCGCCTATGTTCCAGCTAAAGCTGTCAGATAGCCGAGCTAGCTCGCATATGTTTACTGTAAAGCTGTGTCTCCTGGGATAGGAGCCCCCAACAGAGGCAGCAGGATAAAGGAGGACTCGATTGTGCTTAATAGGCAATTAGGTTCTTGAGAGCTTGCTAAGTGCTGCTGTTTACCGTCTTTGTTGTCAGGGAAAAAAGCCATTTAACAGACCATCGTTGAGGGAAAGTTGTTTTTAAAACACCCGCTGGCGTCTGAGAGGCCGTCATGATGCACTGAGAAACCATCGTGTTAAGGTCACTCACCTAAATGGAGTGTGTGTCTACAACAAAGACCTGTAGGTTTACTAAATTCAGCCGTGAGACGTCATTGCATCATGAGACCGCTGACACAGCACGGATATAAAATGGAACTGAAACTAATAATTCCTGGAAGAGGAATAACACAACCTATGCCTGTGCTAAATTTACATTTTACGGCTCACAGTAATTGAGCTATGATAACGATAAGAGTAGAAAGCCGGTCGTTGTATTCAGACAGCCGTGTTCGTTGTACTTTTATTTCGCTCTCTCACGAAATGCCAGGTTATCAGCAGCACCTGTGTAGAATCCCTTCAGGTATAAATCACAGGAGGATATGTAGCTGGAAGGCAGGTGATCACCCGTCAGAGGCACAAACACACACACACTGCGTACAATTTCTACTTAAATAACTTGATAATCTTGATATTAGGGTGTTGACTAACTACAAACTTGTGGAGGGAAGCAAAAACAGGTAGCTGCAGGTAAAACATGTTTAAAAATCGCATTTGAGCAACAATACTGACTTTGAATTGAAATTAAGGAATCAAAGTGCTGCCGATTGGTTATCCGTCGCAGCAGTTCCCTACGACCTTTGATCTATTATCCCAGAACGAATAATTTGATGTTCAGTTACGATGGATCATCTGCTCGGTGTGTGTGGGCTTGTATGTGTAGGTCGAGCAGGGCTTGTGGTTGCAGGCAAATAAGGCAAACAGAGGTGGGGGTTAGTTCAGGGGGTGGGGGACGCTGCGGTCTGACGCTGTCCAGACACAAGACACAGATCTTCAGGAGCGAAACGCCTCACGAGACTCCTGGCCAGCTCTGACGCACATCGGCAGGATACGGCTTAATAAAACAGACAAAGTTAAGGGGGGGTGGATGGAGCAGCAGGGGACAGAAAGACACACAGAGAGGAGTAAAATGAGAACGCTGCAAAATACCCTTACGACTTTGTCCTATTTGAAACACAAAGGAGGCACTGTGATTAGTGACACTACAAAACAAACAAGGGGGCTGTGTCAATTTATGAATACAGGTTTTGTGTCGAAGATTATTAAGCTATCATTATGTGTGCACATGAACAGAAATAGTCAAATGTCCTATTTCCATGGGGTAAAAACCAACTGCAGTGTTTCAAATTTTACAGTGGGCACTTTATGGTTGCTTAAATGGTGTACATCCCTGTGCTGAAAATGGCTGGCCCACACGAGTAGATGAGAGAGAAAAAGAGCGTTTGTGAAACCTTATTGGCAAGAAACGACCAAACCATGATTGTCTAGAACAGCCACTTATTTCTGAGCCCTAATTTAACCTTTAACTTTTCTAGCTTCGGCTGATGGACAAGAATGTAGAATTAAATTACGACAACATTTCTACCAACATCTTAAGACAAGGGATATATCGCTGACTACATTCGCTATTTTTGTTATAGTCAACAAATCACAAAAAAGTACCAAAATTAGTCCATCTCCCATACTTCCCCAACACATCTATCGTTGTCACTTTTAAGCTCATCTGTTCCTGCTACACAGACCCAATATCAATCTACTTTACGATGATTTGATGTAAAACAATATCACAATGCATAATTGGAAGGCAGTGCACAAAAAAGCCTTCAAAGGTTGACTTGTCCAATGAATGTCCATTTTTGAAAATGCTCGCAACTGCTTTAAGCATCACTGTTAGATTCATTAGGTATTTATCATCAACATTTATCAGTTTAGAAGAATTAATCACGAGGTACTAGTAATGAGTCAGGTCTAGGGATGGGTATCGTTAGGATTTTATCGATACCGATACTGCTTATCGATACGTATTTTTCAATACTCTTATCGATACTTTTCAATAATTTGGTGCTCAAAATTATAGACATGATTGTATTTATTATTTAATGTAACTTTTTCAATGTCATACCAAGCAGGTATGAGTGTGTTTGACAGTGTGTCTCTGGAAGGGGGGCGGTAATTAGGGGCAGTTCATAAATCCATGTAAACATGACCATTATTCAGTTAAAACGAGACGCTGCGTGCGCACCTCCTAAACCGGAAGCTCCGGTCGGCTAACCATTATAATCCGTTTATTATTTATAATTGTAATGATGGATTATCAGTAATCATTTTAAAGTTACACAGAGACACTGGATTAACCGTTTTTATGCCCTTGAACACAACTTTTGATCACAAAACAGCAAAGGTAAGACATAATTATCATCATGGCTACGTAAAGTGAAGTTGTTTTCTTGCTCTTTCCTGGCTGCTAGTTCAGTGAGTTTTGATCGTACAGTGATGAGACTTATACCAATGGAATCTGTGGAATCTCAGCTTTCATGTGATATGTTGTTTGTACAGATACAATGACGTAGAAAAGATCGCTTTTGCCAGTTATGTGCTAAAGTAGCCGTTAGCCCCGTTAGCCCGTTTTGCTAAGTGTTGAAAGACTCTTGGTGTTGGACTTCTGTTCCGTGTAGGTACAATTGTTAATATTGTCTGTTAGCTGAGTTTCCCGTTAAGTGGGTATGCATCATTAATAGGTTGTTAAATGTTAAGAAGCCTTGAGACGCTGTTTCTAGCAAGATGTTGCGTCTGCCCCTATGGTCTGCCCCCGGGAGTCTCACAATAATAAGAGCGCTGTTAGGAGAGATGACGAGTGGCATTCACAGTGGCCAATCAGAGTGGTACTCAAACCGGATACGTCACACGGGATGAGGGTTCCCAACCAACCAGAATTGTTTAAACTAAGGAAGTAGTGTAATTCATATACCAATAGCAGCACCGTTTGTCCAGCGGCTTAACGGTATACCAATACCGTCCAATCAGGTACCGGTACTGACTTAGTACCGGTTCTCGATACCCATCCCTAGTCAGGTCAAATGAATACTAGTTTGATGGTGATTGATAACACTTTGGTCTCAACATCCCAGCTTCTTTCTGTCGACCCTCTGATTCCTTCCAAAGTCTCTCGAGCCGCAGCTCAACAAAATGTGACCGCAGTGACAGTCAGAGCTGTGGGATATGCGTCAATGTCCGAGGCCTGGGCCTACAACGACTAATCAAAGGTGCAGCAAGAACCGTCCAACAGGCTCTGGTCCGGCATGGTTAACCCACAAGGAACTACATGTGCTCAGTCGATCAGGAGGAAGAGGCTGCCGTGGGAGAAGAAAACACTTGGTCACTGGTTTGATGTTCCTTCCCACTGGGACAAACAATGCTAAAGATCATGGCATCATCAAGATAAGCTTAGATGAGTTTTCATACAAATGAATAGACGGGAAGCAGTTTCTTGTGAAGAATGACTGTGAGCAGTTTGAGTTCAGTTAGCAGGGATTTTGGAGCCTGACTCAGACTTGAGCTTCCTGTGCATCAAACTGAAACTTAGTTTATGTTAAGTGAGGTTTGTTGCATAACACTTATCTTACGGCACACCCTGGGACTGGGAAGCAAAGGCCAAACCAGTCACAGTCTGTCTGGGTCTCACGTCTTCATGGTCCCTGCATGAACACTCTGTTTGACGGAGAATGCCTTAAAGGTGCCATGTCATGGCCATTTCTACTGATCATATTTCCATTGTTGAGGTCTACTAGAATAGATTTAAATTGTGCAATTTTCCAAAATCACATTGGTTTCTCATACAGCATCTCTGTATAGTTTGTGTATTCACCAGGTATTCACTCTCTGTCCTAAACGGCTTGTTGGAGCTCCTGCCCCCCCCCTCCCTGTGAGCCCAGTGTGCTCTGATTGGTCGGGATGTTGCGAGGCTGGACAGGTTTCCGGGTCGGCGATACAGCGAAAAAACAGCGAAACTCATCCTGTGCACACACAAACACTCACAGCCAAAGTAAAAACAATAAGTGTGGCTTGATATTGAGTAAGAAAAAGGTTTATAACGCTGTGAGAATGGGTCTGCGGAGAGCATTTCTCCGCAATCCCAACTCGTCTATTACCAGCGTTCAGGGAGCTCTATGCAAGTCAATGGGGACTCCCTGTTAGTTAGCCAAGGGATCCTGGTGTGTGAGGTGCTCCGCGGATTGGTCCATTTGGGCCAATCCGGTAATTTGTTGTTGATTTGGGTATTCACACGTCAGAGAACCCAGGAAGAAAACAATGGAAAATGAGAAATCTCCAACAAGGCGTTCTGGGGCAGCATAGACAGGTATTTTCTGTGTTAGAGTTTTACTCGCTACAGGGTGTACTTTGAGGGTTTTTGACTCTGCAGACCGTTTACATGAACAAAAACCTTCATAACACACAAGGGGACGGGTAATAACCGGAAAAGCATGACATGGGCCCTTTAACATACAGCCGGGGGATTGTATCCATTGTTGTGTGGCTTGCAGAGATGCTGTAAACTTTACTAATGTATTTCATGCTTTGTATTAGAATAGTAAAGTATTGAGACAAGCATCTGCAATGAAAC